AGGTTCAGATCGGGTATCAGGAAAAGGTTCTTCAGTTAGAGGTTGGCTGGGTGGTGGCACAGGTTGCTGGAGTTCAGAAAGTGTCTGCACGGTGCTGTCAAACATGTGGTCTGAGTTCTGAATCACAGAATATCCTACATTGGAAGGGACCCATAGGAATCGTTGGACCCAACTCCTGGTTGGAAGTTCCACACAGAACCACTTGGAACTCAGATCATGTGTTTAACAGCACCGTGCAGGCGCTTTCTGAACTCCAGCAACCTGTGCCACCACCCAGCCAACCTCTAACTGAAGAACCTTTTCCTGTCCAGAGTGATGGAAACCCTGAGTTCTTTCCTCTCAAAATACTTTTTCTTGCAAGTCTCACTATTCCCTTGCACCACTTTGTTCTAAAAAGCTCACCTTTGCTCTTACACCTCTGGAGCATGCAGATCTAGCAGGCATCACAGTCTCTGAGGTGTCGTTGCAGGTGAGGAGATGCCTCCAGCCTACTTTCTGCCTCCCCAGAGCACATGTGCAATGCTGTTCTCCAAAGGTACTGGTACAAGAGCTGGTGTTTCAGGGAGATAGGTTCATAAGCTGGGGCCTTCTCCGAGCTGACATTATCCAGATGCCCACATTTCTTTTGGCTTACTCAAGGTGAGAGATGATTATTCTCTGGATCCTGGGAGACGTAGAGAGTTTGAGAGCTGCTTTAGCAACTCTTGGGTGTCCCCAGCACCTTGTGCTCTAGAGATGTGCATTGGCAGCTATGGTGTTGAAAGCCTGAAAGGAGGGAGAAAATAAATGAGTGAAGTATGGTGGAAGCATGTGCGGATGAGGAATGAAGCTACATCCAGGATGGTGTTAACATTTACACAGCCCAGCTTACCCATAGGCCTACTGTCAGTTGGGTCAGGCACAGGTGCTCCTGCTTTTAACATAGCTGTGGTGTCAGCAGTTGATTTTGTTTTGCTTTAAGTTGGTTGGAAATTAAATTAATAGATGCTTTAGAGATCAGATCCTAATCCTAGATAAACCTAGCCTCGTGCATAGTTTCTTAATATAATGTGTATTTTGTGGATTATTGGTAAGCTCCCATGTTGTCCTAAGTATTTTTCTTCACAAGAGTTTTTTTTTTATTTAAACCACTTTATTTATGGAAGTTGAGGAAAAAGAGAAGAAACACAAAAGTACCTGCTTTCATCAGTTGCCCTCTCCTTGGTGACACCAGGAGAGAACTTTCTTGCCGATGACGCATCAGAACTGGGATTTCAGGGGATGAAAAACAGCTCTAGAATCACGTGCTATGGTGCAGAGAGGTGCACACTGACAAGGGATGAAGCTGGTGCTGGCAGCAGAGTGCAGACATGGGCAGGGTGAGCAGCCAGAAGCTGGAACTCAGGAGCCTGAAGCTCCAGACACTGAGATTGGTATGACAGAATCTGTGGGACAGGGGGATGGCAGTGAGCTGTAATCACAGCCTTCCCTATCTCAGTCACTTACAGGTGACTTTGCAGCCTCATGCCTTATTTCCCAGCTGAGAGAAACAGTATACTTCAAGTCTCTTTCTGGGGCTTCATGACTCCACTGCTTGGAGAGGTTCCTTTGAATTTATGGTTTCTTTTCTCAGGCAACATGGGAAAGAAAGGTGAAATTATCTGCTGCCTTAAAGGGACCTAGATTGCAGGATCACAAGGGGAAGAGATGGCGTGAGTCAAGAGATAATGCCAACATTAAAAGATAAAATGGATTAACCATCTCCCTGAGCGTGGAAAGCTGCGTGGGTGGAGCAAGAGGTTGCAGTAGCAGTTTAAAAGGGGACGAGACAGCTGTGCATGCCTGTATTTTTCTATTTAAAGAAAAAAAAAAAAAAAAATCCATCCCAAAAACTTAACTGATGCTATTCTCCAAAGACTGCTTCAGACAGGCGTGCTGGTGGGCAGCAGTCAAGGGGATGTTGGGACAGCCTGACAGAAAGACCCTCCTGGGTGACCTGAAAGGAGCTAATGCAGCAGGGCTTGTTATCAGCTGGCAGTTTTTTCTCTGCAGGCTCCAACAAGAGGTTGCAAAAACGATCCATGGGAAATAGCTCACAGCCATGTATTTCCATTTTTGTTTTGGCCCTGGATTTCAGTTGTAACAGCTCTTGAGGTGAATGAGGCGATGTGCTTTTCTCCCAGGGCAGCTGTGTCAGTATACCTGTGGGGTAGTGTGAGCCATGGTGGAGGGCCTGTTTAGGATGTGATTAAAGAGTTAATTCTCCTTGCCTGTGCAGATGAGATCTAAGCGTGGCTTAAGCAAATTACTGAATGGCTTGTTATAGCCCTGGCTGAGTTCCCTTGCTGTGCTGGGCCTAGTTTTTTTACATCCAATTTGCTGTTGTGACACTCAGAGCTTCAAAGCATCCCAACAGCTGCATCTCTGTGCTCTCCTGACTGCCCTTCTCTGGAAGATGGGACTCTGGGGATCAGCTGTGGATGGCTCTGAAGCACAGGCTAAGCCCTGTCAGTTTCCCTAATAGTTTCTGATGTTCATTCCCCGAAAGCTCCTCGCTCCTGGCTGTGCAGGTCCATGGTTTGATCTTCAGGGACTGGCTGACTTAAAGCCAGAAGCACTTTGCTGTTTGGTAAGGAATTTTAAACAGAAGCATGCTTTATTCGCTGCACGGCATAGACAAGTGTGCAGCTTTCAGGAAGGGAAACAGCTCCCACAGCCCTTCTGCTCCTACCTCTGCTCTTCTGGTTCCGTGGAATCGTTTGGGTCTGTCTCCTGGAGAGGTCCTTGCTCCTCCAGCTGCCCCCCTGATTCCCCACATTGCAGGCTGAGCTCAGTCTTTTCGTTTGTCACCTGTACACACCGACCGCTCGCCTCAAGATCCAAAACCCACTTCTAGCACCTTGTGATCCTTCACCCCATCTCTTGGCAAGGTTCCATTTGCACCCCAGGAGAACTGGCGGGCTGGTTGGTCAATGGCTCAGCTGGCAGCCTCCATTGTGCTGCCCAGCACAACTGCTCAATTGTTTATTGCCATTAACAGCCCCATTGCGGCTCCTCAGGCATTGTCTGGTTCTTGCCATAAAATGGAAGATTTAATCCACTCTGAAGGCTGTAGCATATGCACAGATTCAAAAGATGAATGGAACCTGTAAGTGTAAAATGGACCCAACTCTGTCATGCCCTCAGAACAAAGAACACACTAAAATGTAGCTTTGAAATGGAGGCCCTTTGCACAGGTCATTGCGGAATGCAAAAAAAAAAACCCAGACGGTGCCCCGGCGCGACGTATCCCCAACACCTGCTGTGCCCTTGAGACAGTCAGACACTTTGCTTGCTTGTAATTAAACTGGTTTTCAGGAAGTGGTGCAGCCTGAGAGCGAGCGTTTGCTCTGAGGGCCGCTGGTGTGATGGCTCAGGGAGACCCGGCCCAGCCCCGGGGTAGCCTGGCGTCCCGCGCTCCTGGGGATGCCACGAGTACTGCCAGCATCACCCCAGCCAAACAAATGAGCGTGCATCAGGCGGGGTGTGTTAATCACGGTCTGCAGGTGGATGTTGGTGCATCGATTGCAGAATGGCCTCTGCTGCGGGCAGGGATGAGGGCTGGGCAGGGCAGGCGCTGTGCGCTTGTGGCTTTGTCCACGTGGGCGTGAGGACCGGGCAATTCGGAGACCAGAACGGGGGGGGGTCGGGATGAGCTGTGCCCTAGGAGCAGGAGGGGACGAATCGGGAAGGGGCAAACCTGGCTGAAGAGGGCACGCCGCATCTGAGCCCCGCTGCCACACCCGGCTCGGGAGGCCGCGCTGCGGGCACAGCGCGCTGCTTGGGCGTCGTGCCGGCGACCCTCGGCCGGGGCCGGAACGCGGAACGCTCGGAGCGCGGCGCTGCGTGCCGGGGGAAGGAGCCGCGCGCGGACCCCGCGCCGCCATCATGGCGGCCTGAGGCGCGGCGGGCACGGCGCCGGGAGCCGCGGGGCGGGAGGCGGGTGGAGAGGCCGCGGGGCGAGGTAAGGCGAGGCCGGGAGAGCGAGCCGGAGAGTCGCTCTCCCGGCCGGTCTGCCCGCGGAGCTCTGCCCCGCTTCCTCCGGCTCTAGGCGGAGCGGGGCGGTGGGTGCCTGGGCTGCTGCGGGAGGGCGCGGCGTGCGCCGGGGAAGGCCGGAGCGGGGAGCGGAGCGGGGTGATGCACGGTGCTCTCAGCCTGGAGCCGGGCGGAGTCCCGGAGGCACGGCTCCGTGTGGCTGCGGTAGCGCTGGAACGTGAGCTCTGAGAGAGAGGCGAAGAATTGGCATTCAGTTCTCCGTATCCCACGTCTCTTTTGTAATCCTGTGTTGGTTACCGAGGACGGAGGCGAGGGAGCCAAGAGCTCTGCCTTCTGCTCCCAGCGTGGCTCCGGGCTGGGGGAAGTGTCTGCCCCTGTGCCTGCCCCGCACCTGGGGGAGTGGGGGCACTCGGGGGTTGGGAGGCAGATGGAGTGGGGCTGTGTTGCAGGCGTTTCTTAGGTTGGGAGTGCAGAAATGATCCAAGGGATGAAACACCTCCTCCACTGTGAGGACAAACTGAGAGCTTGGGCGGTGTGGAGGAGGGAAGGCAGTGGGAAGAGGTGGGAACGGGGTTCTGGGTACCCAAAGGAGGGCTGTAGGAAGGGAGGGGACAGACTTCAGCAGCGCCTGTTGTGATAGGACAGGGGAAACATTTTCAAACTAAAAGGGGAGATTCAGATAGTGAGGCACTGGTACAGGTTGCACAGAGGTGGTGGTGCCCCATCCTTGGAGACACCCAAGGTCTGCCTGGACAGGGCTCTGAGCACCTGATGGAGCTGTAAGTGTTCCTTTCAGTGCAGAGAGTTTGACCAGATGGCCTTTAAGGAACCCTTCCAACTCAAACGGTTCTAAGAATGAAATGGAGCTAAGTGTGTTTTCAGAGGCTGAGTGATGAATGAAGCTGCACTGCCTGCAGAGCAGACACCCGTGTCACCCTGCACCCTGTCTGAAGCGGCCGTGTGCCAGGGCTCAGCCCCAACATACTGGTTCTCCAGTATCTGATTTCTTCACCAGAGGGAGGGTTTCCTCCTATACCTGAGAGTCATTTTACATCAATATAACATGAAGAACACCCCTCCCCCCACTAAGTTCTTTGGTGTCTGAGTAACATGCTTTAGAAGTTTCTTTTCTTAGTGTTTGTAAAAATGTCTTTTTGTTTCACATAGTTTACAAATAGTGCTTTATAAAAGCAACGTGCTAATGCTGAGAGACAGCATGCACACAGGAGGTGTCAGGCAGCAGTGAAAGACAAAGATCTCTCTTTGCAGGGACTAAAATAGAGCCTTTGTAGAAAGGGTGTTTCTGTCACTGAAGCTTTACCGTTTCCCCAAAACACTTTCACTGTATAATGGAGGCTGTGTACAGGCCACAGTTCTTTTCTCCTTTCAGGCTTAAGAAAGCTGTGGGTGTTATGTACTCATGCTTTGTCTGTGGTGATGTCAAAAGTGCATTATGCAGGCCTCAAGGTGGCTGAATTCTTCCAAGTGAATTTGGCCAGCTGCTGTTTTGCAGCTGTGCAATGAGTTTTGGGAAAGAGGAAGTCTTAGCTGCCCTGTGGTAGGCATAGTGATGTCATGGATGTCATGCCTGATAACATGTGATAACACCTCTGCAGTTGTCTTTTATTTGACAGCATCAGTAGGTGGAAAAATCTGAAAAGAGCATGAAATGTAAACTCCTTACCTACTAACAGGAGTGGATTCTTGAGGGAGCTGACCAGCCTGCAGAAATTTTGCTCAGGTCTGTTTCTTTATCTGAAAGCAAATCTGTTGCTTTCCAGATAAATGGGGATTTGAGCCTGCAGGGTCCCTCTGAATGCCAGAGGGAAGCAGTTTCAGCTCATGCTGAAAGTTTACTGCTTCTAACATGTGGTTGGACTGAATTTAGCAATGAGGGAATGTGTAAATTAATACCATCTTTTTTTATTGACAGATTGAAAAGCTTAGAATGGCTGGAGAACAGAAACCATCCTGCAATCTTCTAGAGCAGTTTATTTTACTAGCCAAAGGTACAAGTGGCTCGGCTCTGACTGCTCTGATAAACCAAGTGCTGGAGGCTCCTGGGGTTTATGTCTTTGGAGAGCTGTTGGAGTTAACAAATGTGCAAGAGGTAAGAAATGAGTTTCTGTCCTAATGCTCCCTCTGTACTCCCAATGTAAAGGTTCTCCTGAAGTTTCCTTGTGAAATTTCTGTGCCAGGAGAGGCCTGGTGTGACTTGCCTTGTTTCTGAGATGTTTGTGTATGAAGCTGGCGTTGTTTTTGTCTGTATCTATTTAGATGTGGAGAAGTTGCCTGCCAGTCTCATGTTGACTGTGTTCCATGGGATTTCTTTTTTCTTCCCATCCAGCTTGCTGAAGGGTCTAATGCTGCTTATTTCCAGTTGCTGAACCTGTTTGCATATGGGACGTACCCAGACTACGTAGGTAAGAGACTGCTGCCTGTTTGCAGACTGCAAGGCTGCATTGCTCATTAGAATTGTCACAGACAGTTCTTTGCTTTTTGTGGTAGCTGGTGTAGTGTGGCTTGGTTAAAGTGTCTAAGCACACAGTTTGCTTGGGAGAGTTTTTGTAGGGGGTAACTGGGTCATAAGCACTTCTTAAGTGCTGAAAAGAAGTGGAAGGGCCATAACCAGATGAGAGGCTCTGGTATTTGGCTCGGACTGCAACACTAGATCCAGCTGGTCTGTAGCAATATTCATTGATGTTCATAGGGCATTTACATCTGCAAAGTACAATTTCAGACATCTGTTTTCAAATTTGAAAGGCACTGGTTATGGAAGTTGCAGAAACTTTGTAAAAATTGTTCTGAAAATTATTTATCATTTAAACCATAAAGGTTTTTATAACCTTTTCTTGTGACAGCATTGCTGAAACAAAATGCAACGTTTCTTTGCTAGAACAGAAATTGTAATAATGACCCTACAACGTCTTCAGAAGGGCTACATGTGAAGCATCCTTTTGTCTGTTAGGATGTGCTTCAGTTCTTGCACTAATTAATTCTTGATTTGTGGGTAGCAGTTCAATCCAGGCTATTACAGACTGTGACAAATAATTCTGTCATTGGTGCTGGCTGTCGCTGCGGTGGGTGAGCATCCAGTTCTGGTGAGAAGTTGCATCAGTAAATGTAAGGGCTGGAAATTCCAATGGCTGTAGAACAATGTGAGCCTCGTGGATTCTGTGACCAAGCAGAGGATGTGTTTGCCATGTGCTGGTCCTGCATCCCAGCCCACCATAGTGCAGTTCTTTTTTGAGAGGGCAAAGGGGAGAATTGGTCAAAATGTGGATCTTTGAATGAGATGGGATGGCTGAGAGAACTTGAGCACACCAAAGCACTGATTTTCATTAAAGCAGATATTTTAAAGGTTTGATTTGGAAAGCTGGCAGTTTCCTTTCTCCTTTTAAATATTCATAAGGCTTATGGATACAGTATGGTGACAGTGAGGCTATATAAGTGTGTGGATTCAAAGTTTCTCCTCCTGTCCTCAGTCTGATACTTAATACACTCAACTAGAAATTCTGTAGCTTTCAGAGAGAAAACCAACTGCATTTTACAAGCAGATCAGCAAAGGAGGCTTAAATTTGTCAGCCCATTAATGAAACAAAATTAACTTGGTTGTGGAAAGCAAGCATATACCAGCTGTTTTGTCAGGGCATTACTTGTGCAGGTGTGAATTCCAATTCCAAAACCAGAATTAACTAAAACAGTGAAGAATGGAATTGTGAACTTGCAATTTAAAGTTTTCCTCTCTTTATCTCTGGGCACAGCTCTGCTTTACCAGCACCCACAGTAGCCAGAGTTTCCTTTCAGCATTCAGCATAGTGTGACTGGCCAGTGGTTCTGCAACCTGGACTATGTTGTTTGTGTAGGAAAGCTCTGAATCTTATCTTTTTTAACATTGACAGCAAACAAAGATAATCTGCCTGAATTAACAGCAACTCAGAAAAACAAGCTGAAACACTTGACAATAGTAAGCCTGGCTTCTAGAATGAAGGTAAAGTACACTATGAATGACAGCAGACTTTTGTTTGTTTGTTGGAAATGGAATCAGTTCTTTGCATTAGGGTTATATTAAATTGAGTGCTCACAGAAGTGCTGCAACTTGGAAAGAAGCTGTGATGTGTGATGTTCCCACGGTGCATTTGGGACATGAACTTAATGGACTTCTGGGGATGAGGTGTGGAAGTGTCAGAACAGCCATACCATTGGATTAGTAAGGGCTGGGAAACTTTGTACGGCTTCTTTCACTGCTGGAGCTGGGGAATCATCCTTAAAAGGACAACCTTTTTGTTCTGGAGGAAACTAATCCACACTCTTAATTTCTTCTCCAGTCCCCTTACCTTTCTCCTCCAGAAGGCACTGTGCCAAAACTTCACGACCTGCCCAACCCGTGCTGGAATATTAAATAGCGTAGTAGCAGGCATTTGTTTTGTCCCTGTTGTACTTTCAGACTGAAGTGTAGGTTGCCATAAATGTTTGGGCCCTGACCTTCTGCCAACACTATTTCTGTTCCTTCTGGTTAGGACTGTTAACTTACTCTTGGACTTGCTGGTTTCAGTGCATTCCCTACTCCGTGTTGCTGAAGGACCTGGATATGAGGAATCTGAGGGAGCTGGAAGATCTGATTATAGAAGCGGTTTATACAGATATTATCCAGGGGAAGCTGGATCAACGAAACCAGATGCTAGAGGTGGATTTTTGTATTGGCAGGGATATTCAGAAGAAGGACATCAGTAACATTGTCAAAACGCTCCAGGAATGGTGAGGCAGTCTCTCCAACTCGATTGTTTCTTATGCATAGTTTGCCTTATTTTTTTTCCCCTTCCTTGGAAGTTGTAAGTGCTGGCTTAATTTCAACTTGTTCCACCAATCAGGAGTCTTATGCTGCAAGCAGACACTTAAAGGAAGAGTCTCTTGAGTGATTTTTTCCATGATCCCATCTATATTTCAATTTGTGTTACATATCAAGCCAAACTACGCTAGGTCTTGAGATTCCAATCTCACCAAAACTTGTACGTGACAGAGCCTAGGGAGAAGTCAAGAGCTTTTTCCAACAGTTTGTGCCAAACTGTGGTCACTGTCCTAGGGTCTGTACCACTCCCTGTGCTGCTATTACACTCAAGAACAAAAGCAGAACTATTAGTTTTCAGCCATTTGTGATAAGACCTTTGTGGGGAAATTCCAGAGAATCACAGTTCTTAGGGCAGATGTCTCCAAGTCTGAAGTGTTATATGTTTGCCTTTTCTTTGCTCCTGCAAATGCAGGCTGCGTGCAACCACAGTGTTTGGGGCTGTGGTGCTGTCTTCGTGTACCTGTGAGAAGCTGCTTCTCACTTTCTGTCAGATTCCCATTCAAGGAAATCTCCCTGTAGCCAGTGGAGGCTGCAGCAGGTTCTGAGCTGGCTGGGAATCGCTGCCCAGTTTGTTACAGTAATGGGTGTGCAGAAAGTGATTAAACTGCTGTGGTAGAGCAGGGCTTTTTCCTTCTTTTCTTCTCCAAGTGCCCCAATCCCATCTCATCAGGAGAGCTCTGGCAGCCTCCACGAACTTACAGCATCGTTTGGAAATTAACAGTGAACCCATTGCCAGTTTCTTTTCTGTCCTCCAGTTATGAGCTCTGTGTTGGAGGAACACTTTTGAACACCTGGTGGACGAGGGAATTCTCTCAATCTGACTTCCTGTGTTTAGTTTTAAAATTAGATTGTTTTACAACGTATTTTAAGCAATAATTCTGATTGAAAAGGCAACTGATGGTGCAATAAATCTGCACTTTGTGATGGGCAGATAAGAGTAACACAGACTAGCTGAAAAATGCTGTGAAATGCATCAAGTAATCAATAAAGCTTTTTCTTGCCAGCTTTTTTGGAATTGGTCTCATAGCAGGAAGTATGAATTTAATAATCTTTTGATAATCTCACTTGAGCATAACTTTTCACATTGCACGAGTGAGCTGCTCCAGAGAGCACTCCTAAATACTCATGGATATTTTTTATGTCTTGCAGGTGTGACGGTTGTGAAGCAGTTCTTTTAGGGATTGAGCAGCAAGTACTGAGAGCCAACCAATACAAAGAGAACCATCACCGAACCCAGCAGCAGGTAGAGATGGAGGTGGGTGCAAATGTGTTTCAGACTGCTCAATGCTTTTTGATTGAACACTGCTGTCAACTGGATAGTCTGGTAACACCTGGTTAATGGCTGCAGCTCCTCTGAAGTACTCTAGCAATTGTGCAAGTCAGATTCTGGAGTAGGAAAAATAGAAATCTTTTTCCTTGTGCTAATAACACCACAAAGACCTACATAAAATTTGCCCACTCTGAGCGGGTTGGAACTTTTCTGTATAAAAATGGGCCAGATGGGTGCAGTGCTTGTAGTTCATTATCAGCTTGTAGCTGATTGGTTGGGGAAAGAGCCCTCGTGATACAGAGTTTGGATATAGTTCTGTTTCTTTTGTGTAAGGAAGCAAAACCTCACTTCAGTCTGAGAATGTTGGGTAAAACAAGCAAACTAAAACTAAAAATCCCTCGATACTCATTGCTTTTGCATACAAGGGCTCCTGAGCAGTGCGGGCTGGGCGCGCTCCCGCTGAAGGCTGTATCTGTTCTTAGTCCATAGATGGCAGCACGAGCACACGATGCCAGCCCCAGCTGATGTGTAGTGAGAACAAATGTTGGCTAATACAGCTGTAAAGGTGAAAATAGTCCTCCGGAGACACTTGCTGAGGGTTTATTTCTTGCAGAGTGCTGCATCCCTGCAGGTTTACGTTTGCTTTCTGAAGCAGTTCATGCTTGGCGGCTTGATTGGCATCCATAGTGCCTCTTGTTTGCCAGATGCCTTTAGCCTGGAGTTGGTGCACCTGACTCCCAAACTTGTTTTGCTTTCTTTGTTTTTTTTTCTTCTTTTTTTTTTCTTTTCTGTTTTTAGTGTTTGCTGATTGTACGACAGGTGAGTTTCATGAGACAAGGTACTGTGCCTGGTGCTTTGTCTCTCCTTGTCAGCCAGAGTAGTGAAGCACTACTCCTCGCTCCCATGGACCAGTTCCTGTTCCTGCTTCTAGCACATATCCATGGCTCAGCCAGACACAGATGAAGTCGTTTTTGTTTTTGAGTGCTGTTGGAAGCATGCATTTGTTTCTCTTTGACTCCTTTGTCCCTGCTGCTTCTAGCCAATCTAATGGTGAGATGGCTGACTTCTGCACCAAGGCAGTAGTAGATCTCTTTGGCCAACCAGGAAGATGGAATAATATTGTATTTTTGTCTCTTAGAAGAAGTAGGTAATCTCTAGTTGTTTCCAGTCTGAGTCCAGTATGGATTATAAGAAGGCTGGCTTTAAGTGAGCACAACATTTTGCCCCTTAAATCTCAAATGCAGAGTCTGTTTCTGGAGGGTGAGTTTTTGATAGCCCCCCCTGTGTACTCCAAGGGATTCTCAGCATGTTTGTGAACAGAGTTTCTAATGCAGAGAGAGAAGGAAGCAGGTGCTGACTCACTGTCTCTTCTTGGCCAGGTCACAAACATAAAGAAAACATTAAAAGCTACAGCCTCGTCGTCGGCACAGGAGATGGAACAGCAGCTGGTAGAGCGAGAGTGCCCTCCACACACAGAACAAAGGCAGCCCACAAAGAAGATGTCCAAAGTTAAAGGGCTGGTCTCCAGCCGTCACTAGAACATACCATCCAAGTGTCATTCAGCTAGGAATGACAGCAGGAGGAGCAAAAAAGGGCCTGTGTCTTCTTTTCCAGTGGGTTCTGGGCCAGCCCCTTCCAGGCTGGCAAATAAAAGCCCTGTTTGAATGCAGCACCTGGCAAAGTTACACTGTGCAGCCCCTATTTGTTACGAGGGTGTCTCTGTTCTGGTCCTTTAAAGAGGGACTTTTGAAGAGAGGGACTAGCACAATGGGGCAGTAAAAAAGTCTGTGGACAGTTTTGCTCCCTCTCAGCCAGTTTCATTGCTGCTTAACCTCTAGGAAGCTGCTGTACTAAATCAGATCTTGGGAGAACTTCTATACTAAGAGTGAATCCCAGGGTTGAAGTGTGGCTACCAAAGCCAGGCTGGGAGCGAGGAAGCCATCAACATAGATCTTTTCATTCCCTGAGGGAGTGCAGAAAGGTTTCTAGGCCAGGAACTGCTTTGCATGGAAGTCTTCAGCCTTTCCTCTACCCCTGTCTGTTTTGAACTGGGGTGTAATTCACGCTACCTCGCTCTGTGAGGATGAGATTCAGTGCTGGGCTGTTTACTTAACTGTCTGTTTACTGCCCTTACTAAGCCCTTCAATCTCTCGCAGATTTAATGCACTGGTCTGCATCTCTGAGTCTTCAATGCAGAAAGGAGGAAGCAGGCTGCTCTTCCAAGCCTTCCTTCTTACAAATGGTTATGGACACAGCAGAAACAGCGTTCCTTTGGAATGTGATGTCACCTCTCAGAGCTGCTTGTGAGTTGTTCCCCATAGATACCTCCAGAGGGTAATGCATTTGCTCTTCCTTGGGTGCTAGTGACAGTGGTCTGTGTGGGAGAAGAGCCCCTTTAGCACTGTGGCAGGCTGGTGGCCCAGGACCCACTGGCAAGGGTCACAGCAGTATCCCCTTGCTGAACCAATGGACTTGACTAGTCTTTCTGAATTTTGAACACTTTCAGGTTGTATTTTCTTTTTTTCTTTTGTACATTGTTGTGATTCTGAAGCATTTCAGCCTTTGATTTGTGTTTTTTTTTAATTTGTTACAGACCAACTTCAGGTGGTTTGCGCCTGATTTGGTGAGGAGCGGGGTTTTTTTTTTACGGGGGAGGATGGGGTTGGCAGTGAAACAGCAATTCACACAAAAAAGCACATTTTAGAAAAAAATTAAAAATGCTGATTTAATGTCAGAGTTCAGAGTCTTGGCTTTGAGACTGCTTTAGCACTTGTCCACGTGAGCATTTACTTGATTCCTGATGTTACGTTATCAGAAGGTCTGACTAATCTCCCTGACGCATCTGGGAAACAGAGAATTACTGTTCCTGTTTTGTCAGTACTTCATCTTTATCCAATTTTGTGTGGAAGGATCTGTGGCAAAGCCAGTAACTGAGCCCACAGCCCTGAGCCTAAACGCCGTTGCTGCCTGATAATGAGAGGTTTGGAGCTTTGCTCTGTCTTTGGCAGTTGGGTTCCTTTCTCTCGGTCTCACAAACTGAAGTGTTTTACTTCTGTCAGTGTTGTAAAAAAAAAAACAACAAAAGTTTTCCAGGAGCAGGAAGGGGGGCTGTTCTAGCAGAGGACTGTGACAGTACTCCAGTCCTGCATTTACACTGTGCAGTGCACGTGCCTCCCACTAAATGCTGTGGAGTTCTTTGCCATCTGCACATCCTCAGTCCTTGGCTCCAGGACCTGCTGTGTGTTTGCGAAAGGAAATTCTCTCTTTTTCTTTCCTCCTGCAGTGCAGGCACACCAGCTTTCAGTCTAAGAGGTGAATCTAAATGCTTCCCACCCAGCTGCCTCTGGGTTGAGTCCCTTGATTTCTGATTCATTGTCAGCTCTCTCCTTTGAAAATACTAGCCAAAAAAATTCCCATTGAAAGATGTTGAATGTTAAGTGAGTAAGCCCGAAGCATGAAGCCTTCACTTGTATCTCAAGGGAACCCTTGCAGTGTCTGTTCTGGTTTCTGTACTTGCATCTCCTGGTGTTCAGCTGACAGCTTCAGGAGGTGTAGGTGGACTTCGTGTACCCAAGTCTCTTAGATGTGTGTGATGAAGAGGGGCTGAGTCTGCTTCTGGCTTCCCGTGTGGGTGGCTGCAGTGTGCTGGTCATCCAGCTCCTCTCAAAGTTTGGCTGGTGAGAGGTTGTGTGGTCCTCAGGAAGCTGTTTTCTTTCCCTCCCATGTCTAATGGCAGTCCGGCAAAGATGCAAGGGGAATTCAGATGTCTTTGGAAATCAGTTTAGCTCCTCCCAAGCCTTGGTGCAGGGGAAATAGATGTGAATTTGGCATCCCTGATGTTTGTTCCCTGCCAGGTACTGGAGCCACATTCGTTTGCTGAAACTTCTTTAGTGTGGTAGAAGTTCTTGAGTCCATTCTTGTATTTTTGCTGTTCTCAAAGCTTATTTGGGCTAAGGGTCCTACCTGTGCTTCAGTACGCGTTGCCTTTGTTTGGCAAAGAAGCAAGGGAGGAAATAGCACTTTGAGTAAAGAGCAGTCCTGTGCTCGATGGTGAGAGCATGGAGAAGGGAGGGACGCTGGGAAGAATTGAGCTGTTTGCGTGTTTGGCTCGTCCTGGTGTGCCAGTGATGCACTTGGTGCAGCAAAAAAGAGGGGTGTCTTTGCAGTGAGCCCAGCCCGAGATGAGTCATTAACAAATGACATGCACAGAGTACCTGGGGGAGGCAGACAGCTCCGCAGCAGCTGGTTAATGAGTCTGGCTCGAAGGAAAGAGTCAGAAACTATTCCAGGAATGAAGCAGAAGGCACAGTTGTTAACAGGGACGGATGCAGGAGGTGCTGGGCTTTTTGAGAAGGACAACACGAAGATGGAGACTGCAGGGAGGGCAGCAACTTGGAGCAGAGTGGTCTGAATTAGATGGGGTCTGAACTGGGGACAGTTTGGAGTTGGGAGTGTCTGGAGAGAATAGCTGTGCTCTGAGGACAGGAGGCAGATGGAAGTAGAGGTGGTTTTCATGCAGTCCCTGGTGCATTGTGTGTGCCTGTTGCAGGCAGCTAACACAGCTAGTGTGGGTGCTGCTGGACGTTACTCCCTGATGTGGGGAGAGCATCCTGACCTACTTTGTTTTATGGCAGCCATGGGCTGCTCCAGCTGCAGCTCACTTCAAGATTGCAGCAGGACAGAGTCTGAGCTATTGAACTTCGGTTTGCCTCCTCCACCCGGCGAGAGACAAGTAGACAGAGCTGCTCTTAAAGGCTTTATTGTCTAGTTTCATGTTCTGCAGCTCTGCTTGTACTAGTGCTTGTTTAATATGGAACTGAGCACTGAGCTGGAAAATGGAAGAGGGGATCTCAGCTGATTGCAGTGCTGGTACACTGCCCTAGCCCTAAAGCTGTGCCTCGTGCTAACAAATGTCCCTGCTGTTCCTGCTGTGGCTCAGTTGATAGCAGCTAACATCAGGCAATTCTGGAACATGATAAAGCAATGCTGATAGCAGTCTTTTTTTTTTTTTTTTTCTTTCCCTTAAAACAAAGTTTGGGTTGAGCATCTATTGTTCTTTTGCCTTCCTCCCACCTCATTAGATGAGTTGGATGCTAGTTTAGTTTTCTGTTGAGAACAGGAGGTTAAATTGGTAATGCTATCAGACCTTCCTATGTTCTGATACATCCTGCACTCAGTCTTTGAGTGCTGTCTAAGCTGTTTAGAGAGACCTCTGATGTAAAAATAAAAAATAAAACCCACCTCCTGCTGGGATAAAACAGGCAGAGTTTGTGCACTTGTAGGTTTGTTGGTGCTGAGCCTGTTAACAGATTTGTCATGGAGGGAAACATTTCTTGTTATTATCATCAAGGTGTGGGAATGGACCCAGCCAGTCAGGCCTTTGTCTGCTCCCACACAGAGCTTTCTGGTTGTTTTTGTTTGTTTGTTTTTTCCCCACAAAGTCCTCTGTAGCTTCTGACCTAATGCACAGGAGCCAAAAAGTGAAACTGTCAAGTTTATTTTTGTGTAATCTGAAGGAGAGTAACCCAGGGGCATCGTGAAAGGTAAATTAAAGTTGGGAGTGATCTCAGTTTCTACTTGTAACCTCAACCTCGCGTGTTTGTTATGGAATTACAACCTGTCAGTCCAATTGAATTTCTCAGCAGAGATTTTAGAAATCTGTCACTGTTTCACTCTGCGCTGTGGCGATGGCCGAAGTCTCTCAGGGACTGTTGACATTTTGCTGATATTTCTTCAAGTTTGGCCCTACCACAGAGGTAAGTGATTGAAGCCAGGGAGAGATGTGCTATAAGGAGAGTGCCTGTTGACCCCCTTAGCTGATTGCCTGCAGCCTGCTTCTTAGTGGCACTGTGGGGGCAGCCCTGTTCCCAAACAGTGGATCAGGCAGAGGACTTGGCAGAGCAGCACCGTGCTCACAGTCTCCAGATACACAGGCTTCTTCTTTCTGCAGACCTCACAAGGTGCCCTGATGTATTTGCTACAGGTTGCAGATTGTGAGAGTGTGATAGCTGGGACCGTGGCTTTTTCTTGTCACTTTGTGCCTGTAGTCCTCACTTGATCTGGTTTTAGTGAACGGCGAGGCACCTTTCCACAGCTCCAGCTCTCCTGCAGAAGCTCGTGAATCTCAATATCATTCAGGCTTTTTGCAAATGCACCCGTGGCACCTCTGCATTTTCAGAAGAGCCTGTGGTGGTGGCTCACTGAAGCCTTGCTCTGTCAGCGATTGGTCTTTTCGTGCTGCTCTGACCGTAGCTCCGTCTCATCATGGGTATGAAGTCTGGAAGTTGTGCTGTTGACTCTCCAGACTCTTCCTGAAGGTGCCGTTTATCTCAGCAGCCCTGGTGTCTCATATGCTGCACAATCCTAATGCTGCCTTGTGCTGATGCAGTCAGTAACGTCTTGGTGTTTCATTGTCACCTTCGCAGCTGTTAGAGAGCACTGGTTCCTACAGGACCACCTGCCAGCTGTGATGCTATTCATTTTACCATCGTGAGATGACACCTCTCCTTGCTGGCAGACGAGCCAGGTGGGTAGGCATCGCTCCTCTGAGCTGTTTTGCATGTAAGAAAGGGAAATCTGTTGCCTGATTTAGTACAGTGAAAAGCAAGGACACAGGACAGGTTTATGAAGAAGGGGCAAAGCGTGAAGCTGTGTCCCATTCCAGCTCTGCTATAGCAGAAAGCAGCCCTGGGCAAATCAGCCCCTCAGCAGCTGAGTTTCCCTGGACAGCTTCTCTCGTGTGTGCTGACTTTGAGACTGAAGTTTGTGAAGTGTTTTGGTCTCCTGGCTGGGCAGAGCTTAATTGCTGATTTAATTGAAGAAGATACAGTGCATGTGTATGGAAGGGGGGGGGGAATCTCAAAGCTTCTTAAGCTTTTCTAGAAGTCGTTTTCCACTTGTGCATTGTACCCTTCTTTTCCCTGATGCAAATAAGGTGCTCCACCTTGGGAATATTGGCCTGGAGTATTATGGGTAGTATGCCAGGTTAATTATGAAGGGGGCAGGAAAAATAGCCTGTGCCGTTTTCAACAATATCAAAGGGATGCTACCTAATGATTTTCCTATTAGCTCTTTTCCCAGCCTGCCAGAGTCACTGCAGAAATGTCATTTACAAAGGCAGTTTGCAACTCATTACCCTGGATTTTCACTGTAGTTCTGCTCCAGAGAGCGTGGGCTTTTGCTGTGTGCCCCAACCTAATGAATTGCCTGATTCAGTTAGCGCTGCCATCCTTTCTGACAAGGTTAGTTGCTGACTGACAGGAAGGGGCCTGGATTCAATTCCCTTTTTGTTTTCGACTCATGCTTGTGTCAAGTGCAGGCTCCCTCTGGAAGCTGCCCTGTGATCCTTTCCCTTCGTTTTTCTGCATTCTGAAGGAAGCAGTCCATACTCAGAGAAGCCCTGGAGCAAATGGGGGGTGGGGGGGTGTGCAGCCCTCAGCAGTCCCTACTCAATGCCTCAAGTCCCACGTCAGATGGAAAATTCCACCGCTCCCCTGCTCTGTGGTTCTGGGCTTTTCTTTCTCATCATTGGCTTGGGACTTGCTGTCACCTGAGCTGGGCTTTGTGACCCTCCAGCAGTAAATACCTTGGAAAAGCTGTGGTAAGGGAAGAAATGTGTGTTGTGACCTAGGAGAATAGAACAGATTTGCCACGTGTGGGAGGGCAACTGTGCCCTTATTTCTGGGAGGTCCTTCTCTAATGTCTGCCCTGTGCTCTTTGGCCTTTGCAAGGCACCTGTACACAGCCCTAGAAAGAACTCCTGTCCTTTTCCACCAGCCAGCCGTGTGCTTTTCCATGCTGTGGGTCTGCGGCTCCTCTTATGGTAGGAGTATTTCCTGAAAAGGGGAAACCAAGGCTGTTCCTCTGTTTTGTATCACAGTGCTCCCACCTGAAAGCCAAACGGGGCTGCTACTCGTTCTGCTGCTGGAGCTGGAGGTGTGCTGTGTTTGCCAGGTGCCCTCAGTGTGGACAGGATCCTGGGACTCCAGCCTCCCTCATTTCCAAGCATGCAGACACGTGTCCACCTCTGCTAAATGCCATTCTCTGAGCTCACTCTTAAGAAGTGGCTGCCACCCCCCTGTGGCTGCAGCTTGCATCCAGGGCAGCTCTTGGTGTTCAGTCAAACTGTGCGTGTGCTGGGATGTGGTGAGGAGATTTTCCAGTTCTGGCCGTGGGTCCTTTTGATGGATGTCATGAGGATTTGACCTGGTTGGACCACACGAGGGGCAGCAAAGTCAGATCCATTTGTTTCTGCTGCACGTGATGCCTTTTTCCCTCTTAATTGGATTCCTGCATCCCCTCTTTCCTCCTGGCCTCATTTCCTACCGAGCCCCTGTCAGGGGGACCTAATTGTGGCCTTATCAGATGCTCACTATGCTCTAATGAGCCGTTTCCCTTTCCCATTTTGGCCTGTGTGCCAAACCAGGGCGGTGCTCTGAATGCTGACCTTGGCTCACCACGCCGCTCTGCCCTGCCGACCCTCCTTCCTGGCTGTGCCACGTGGTGCTGAGTTGACCTGAAGGTTTTCCCAAGTGCTCTTTCAGCCCCGAGTGCTGCCTTCTTTCTTCTGCATCAGCTGGCATCCCCACGTGGGCACAGTGTTCTGTCCTGCAGGTGGGAAGACATTGTGCTGAGGGACAAGGCGACTTCTCTGTGCTCAGAGAGGAAGCAGCAAAGCAGGGAGCCAAGCTGTTATCCCCTCCCTTGGCATGGGGAGCTCTCACTGTTGGCTGTGCTCCTGCCAAACTAATATCCTTCTGTCTTCCTCCTTGGGCTTATTCTTTCCCAGAGAGCCCAGTGGAGAGAAGGGACCGGTGCTCTGAGGCTGTGTGTTTCCCCTCAGACTGCACTCTGCAGAGGAGAAACGTGAATCCAGAGCGTGGGCAGCCCTGGGCTGTGATATCTGGGTTGTCCCCAGCCTGAGCTCAGACAGTGTGCTCTGCTCAGGTCATCAGGATTTGCAGAGAGAGGTGAGCCAGTTCATTCTGTTGGACAGAGGCTCTCAGGCCTCTGGCAGATGGTTCCATCCTAGCTCTGGGCCCCTTCATCTCATCCTGGTGCTGTTATCATTGTGCTGAAGGACCAGGAGCCAGCAGGCAGCCAGCAGGACTGTCTCCTTACACTGCTGCTGGACCTGTTGTGTGTGATCTGAGTTACAGGTGACTCCTTGCTCTCCCTTAGGCTTGCTGGGTGACACAGTCCCCTCTGATGGGCATCACTTCAGGAGCACCTGGCACAGCCCCTTCCGTCTCGTGAAGGTGTGCAGAGCTGGCAGGATGTGCCTCGTGGGCACACAGTTTGCCTTACAGGGCCTTGAGGGCCAGTTGTCATCACATGGGGACATCTCTGCCAGGCTGAGCTGAGGCTGGGCATGGAGCTGCCTCCATCCCTCCCAGGATGCACGTTTTGTTCCCTGTAGGCAATGCCTTACGTGTCCATGAGCTGCTGCTGTGTGCACTGTGAGCTGGATACCAGCCTCTGAGCAGAGAGCTCTGTATGAGGCTGGAAATGCTGCATGCACACTTATAACTGATGGTTGAGCTGTCGGGGGGGGCAGGATGAATCCTGCTGTAAGCTCACGTTGCCTAATGACTGGATGAGAGCATGACTGGATGTTTCTATGATTTCCTGGTGGTTGCTGAGGGGAAGGATCTCTTTGCCTTTAGGTCTCTGTCACTCTTTGCCCTACGTGCCAGAGCACAGCAGCTCGCAGCACCCGCTGCAGTGGGGAGGGCATAGTGGGTGCCTCCCATTGCAGCCGGGCTGGGCACCTGCTGCTCTTTCCTTGGGCCTCTGAAGAATGGGACCAAAAAGCCTTCATGTGGGAGTTTGCCTCCTTGCTGTGCTGCTCACCCCCTCGCTGGCTGTGCCCTTCAGAGCACAGAGATGTTTTAACAATGGATTTCGTGCGCTTTACATAGCAAGAACCTGTATCCGGGAATCCTTACCAGGCAGCTTCACTGTATTTTGGTGTATGGTTAAATACATTACTGCTGCACGAGAGGACTCTACATCTTAGCAGCAAGAGGAAATCTCAACAGCTGAGCAAACGGCCGGGTCCTGCAGTGCGAGCAGCTCCAGCACACAGCTCTGCAGCGCGGCGCATCCAGAGCTGGGACAGCAGCTCTGTACAGCACCCAGAGCTGCACGGCATGGAACAGGGACTGCAGCCCAGCGCCGTGCTGTCACACTGCTGCTGTCACACTGCTGCTGTCACACTGCTGCTGTCACACTGCTGCTGTCCCATCTGGGCCGGGCACTGCTGCCACGGCCTTTGGCAGTGAGCTCAGATGGTTGCACCATGCAGAATCCGCTCGGTCTGAGCATGGCAGCATGAGTTCACCGTGCAGGCAGGATCAAAGCTTCCCCCATCACGGCCTTTCTCTGGCTCCTGCCTTTTCTAAAGCATCCAAACCATTTCTTCTCTCCGCTCCGTTAAAATCAATCAATCTGACGTTTCAATTGTACGTGGGTTTGATAAATAAAGACATGTTACCAAATGCTGCACCGAATGATTTTTTTTTTCTTTCTTTTAACCTTTTTGTGAACTACTTAGGACAAAAAATGTTACAATGCTTGACTTCTCATTTAGTTACATAAATAATTTTTTTTTTATAAATATCTCTTTATAAACAATATATAAATAGCTTTACAACATAAATACATTTATGCATGACATGAATTTACAAACAGCAACGTTATACAGCCGGCTTCATCAGTCTCTCAGAAAAGCACTGTCCCTTGTCTCGGTGAGTGTTTGTATATATAATATATATAAGATAGAGAGCGCTTTTTAAAAAAATAACAGAACCAAAACAGCTGGTGCCATGACTCCTCGTACCGAAAAGAAAAACACAGCCACATCTTTTGTCCGATCCGGGGAGGTCTCTGCTCTTCCGGGCGGTGCCTGGGGGGCGGCCATGCCCGGCCCTGGGGGAACAACGGTGCCGCTCCGGCGCTCTGCGTGGAACGAAGGAGAGCCGTGAGCGCCCGCCCTGCAGCGCCCCGCTGCCGCCCGAGATGCGTCCCCAGCGGGATGTTCTGGGTTGGGGTGCGGGTACGGAACTCGGGCGCTGTGCCGGTGCTACGGCAAGGGGAAATCTCTCGCCCTGCGCTCGCCGGGGTTGGACGCTGGTGGATGGACTCAGGGACGCTGACTGCTTGTCCCGGGTCCAGCAAGGACGAGGGGGGCCGCCGGGGGCTTGCAGCCTTCTCGTCCTGCCCGCCGCTGCCCGCCGCGCTAAAGCTTTATGGGCACGGGGAGATTCGGGAGCAGAATCCGAACGGAGTTGGGATTCGGGGAATCTTCCACCCAACCCAGGCCGAAAGTTTCTGTTCCTCGCACCCAGTAAGGACGCGGGCTGAGAAACCGCCCCGAGCCAAGCCGGGCGAGTTGGGAGAAAGTTCTCATCAGAACCCAACGAGAGAGGGCGATGCCCCGGCGATGCCGAGGGCCGGGCGCCGGTACCTACGGGACGCACAGCCCTGCGCCCGGGTCCGGGCCGCGATACGGGCGGGGGCAGAGACCGGACCGGGCCAGAGCGACGGCATCCTCGGTCCCCTACGGCGCGGAGGAGCCGCCCTCGTTCCCGGTGCCCGTCGCCGCCCCGTCCGTCTCTCCCCCGGCCGATGGGCTCAGCGGATCTCCCCGCGGCTCAGCGCACGGCCGGCCTCGACGAGCGGAGTCCCACGGTAATCACCGGCAGCAAGGTGGACGCGCCCCTCGCCCGCCCCCTTCACGGGCACGCGGACGGGCGCTGCCCTCCCGGCGCTCCCCCGGCGCAGCCCCGCGCCCAGCACCGCCCCGCGCCCAGCACCGCCCTCGGGCCGCGCCGCGCCTCGCACTCACCGCCAGAGGTCCCTCAGCAGCCGAGGCCGCTCATGGCGCCGATGCGGTCCAGCTTGAGGCCGAAGCAGCCCTTCCCGAGCCCCTTCTTGTGCAGCCCCTTATTGCGGCGGCCCGACGGCTCCTGCAGCAGCCGCGCCCAACCCGCCCGGGGCCGCGTTTCTGCCCGTGCCTCCCGCGCCTCCCGCGGCCCCGTGCCGCCGCCTCCGCCGCCTCCTCCGCGGTTCCGCTCCTTCTCCTTCTCCTTGTCCCGCTCCGCGCCCGCCGCCTCGGGCGGACCCGCCGCTGCCGCCGCCGCTGCCGCTGCTCCACGGGACGCCTGCGGAGAGACGACTGGTCATTGCGGGCCGGTCCGCGCGTCCCGGGCTCCGTGCGTCCCCACTCCGCGGCGGAGCATCCCCAGCCTCCCCATCCCCGCGCGGCCCCCGCTGGGTCACTGCGCCCCGGAGTGGGGCTGGGGCGGAGCTCCCCCAGCCTGCGGTCGGGGCACCCCCAAACTGGGATCGGAACACCCCCAAACTGGGGTCACTGCACCCCTAAATTGAGGTGACTGCGCCCCCAAACACGGGTCGCCGTGCCCACCCCCCCGCTTCCCACCAGCCCTCAGCCCCTTCAGATTTGGGATGGTCCCGCTCCCCAGCTGCAGTCACTGCCACTCTGTGCTGATGCCGCTGTCCCCCCACTCTGCAAAGTGGGGAACAACTGGGACCCCCACTTTCCCAGGTCTGCTGCTCACAACTAGTTAACACGCTCTGGGCACTCCCAGTTCTGCCTCCTCCTCACTGCCCCCACTGTCCTGTTCTGGGCTGCTGCTCACCCCCTCTCTCTCCATCACACCCCCAGCTCCCCATGCTGACACTCCTCACCCATCCCCCCGGTGTCCCACTCCGGCTCCGTGTGCCATATCTCTGGCACAGGTGTCGGTGGCCTCCAGGACATCCCTTCTCCATCCCGAGGGACACCATGGGTGCCCACCCCCGGGCTCCGACCTCACACCTACACCCGGGTCTGATTCCGGCACCGTAGGGTGACGTGGAGACAGCCGTGTCCCCGCTGGCTGCGGTCCCGCAGGGTGAGGGCACGCAGCATCCCCTCCAACCACAGTTCTCCCCGACACGTGGGTCGGTGGTCTCCTGCCACCCAAAAAACCCCATGGGAAGGAGGGCCGAGCGGTGCCTCCCCCTCGCCCTAAGGACTCTTTCGGGACGCAGCAGCGGGGCAGAGGCAGCCTTACCTTCTGCGGGAGCTGGGACGCCGGCTTCGCCTCCAGCCCGACGGAGAGCAGAGCGAGCAGCAGTCCTCCGGCCAGCACGGGTGAGATCTGCATCCTGCGGTGCAGCGGGAATGGGGCCGGGGGGCAGCGGGGAGCCCCGGGAAGAGGCCGGGACGGAGGGAGTCAAAGTTCAGCGCGGAGCCGCGAGGTCCCTCCTGCCGCCCGCGCAGTGCCGAGCCACTGAACTTGGGCTTTCTGCTTCATTCATTTTATAACCCAACCTGCTCGGTGATGTCATCTAAACAACCAGGTCCAGCCCGGCCTCCCACTACACAATAGCAGGAATTTAAAGGGGGGGGGTCCCCTCTCCCCTGGCAGGAACAAATGACACATCAGCCCAAGGCAATGGGCTCACGGAGTTGCAGAGGCGAAGAGCAAAGTGAGGGGCATTTGGCTGAGCTCTCCCAAACCCCCCGCCCCAGGGTGGCTGTCGCCTTATATCCCCCCACCCCATAGCCCCTCTGCTGCCCCCCCATCCCTGCTGACCCCAGGAGGGGCGCTGGATGGCTGCTGCACTCTACGGGGGGCATCCTGGAGAGGGATTGAGTCCCAAAAGCAGAAATGAATGCAAAAAGCACTTTTTTTTTTTTTTTTTTTTTAAATTATTTTTTTTTACCCCCTCCATCCAGGCTTAAAAATCAGAATGAAACTCCCAGACTCCTGTTTGCCAGGAGAGGGGGACACTGCCCTGCACAGCAGTGACATGGGGACACGTGGGGACAGGTGACAGTGGCGCTGCTGGTGGCACACAGGTGGATGCTGTGGCTCAGAGCGGGGACCTGGTCCTGCTTCCTGTCCCTGCCCTCCCACTGGGGGTCAGAATGCTGCCCTCACCCTGGGGCATATCACAGCTGCTGGTGGCTTCTTCTGCAGAGCATGTCGGTGTCACCCGGCCCCTGCAGGGACTGTCCTGGTGCAGCGTGGCTGTGAGTGCTCCCACCTGCTGCTGGGGCTGTGATGGATCCCTGGATGCTGGTGGCAGCTCAGGGCACGCAGCTGAGGGCAGGATTTAGGATTTGTGGTGCCACTACTGCTGCCATGCATGGTACCGGAACAGCACTGACCCCGTCCCTGGCACCCCAAAGCACAGGGATGCTCTTAGTGATACAGTGCCCCCAAATCCTATCTGTGGGACCAGGGAAGAGCTCTAGGCTCTCCCCGGGTTGGTGCTTTCCCCATTCTCTGGGGCTCCCTGGTGCTCTGCTCTGCCTCCAGCAGGATCAGGGCTCTTTGGGGGGCTGTGGTTTCCCCCCCCTGCAGCCGCACTGCTGGGCACGAGCTGCCTCGCAGGGAACCATCCCTTCAGCTCCATGCGGCCAGGAGCTGGAAAGAGAAGGTCTCGGTGGTTTTTCCATTGTGCCTGCCAGGTGGAGACAACTTGGGCTTTTTGGAGAGCGAAGTTACACTCGGGCACTCATCTGCATGCAGGCAGATAAAGGCGATGGAGGCAGCCGGCCCCGCATACCAGGTGACCACACGCACAGGCGTGGGGCACAGAGGTCCCTTCTGTGCTTTTTGGGGCTCAGAACTCAGCCCCATGCAGCCCTGCGCCAGAGCATCCTGCACATGGCACAGCACAGCTGGATCTCACCGCCGTGCTCTGCTGGGTTTCCGTGAGCATGTTTGCTTTGTCCCAACGCTTGCAGCCTCAGTTTTGGGGGCTGTGCTTTTAAAATCCAATTAGTGCTGTTATTCAAATCACCCTGCCCTTAACCAAAACCAGACCGCATCCACCCGTGCTGCTTCACAGCAGTGAAAAGCTCTCGGGTGGGAGGGTGGGGGGGAGAAGGGATGGAGAAGGGGTTAAAAGCAATGGAACCTTTTTGCTTTGTGGGACAGGGGCTTGGAAGCCTTTAACCCTTGGAGGTATGTGCTGTACCACCCCGTGGCTGAGATCTGGCAGAACTCAGGACATGGGTGGATGATCTCTCCCACAAAGCGTAGGGGATGGCACTGTGCAGGTGGATGTGTCACTGTGTCACCATGCGTGGTGACAGCACGGCTGTTCCTGCAGAGGTGCTGCCTGATCGTGCTGGTTATTCCTGGGGGTCCTGTGTCCTGTGAGACCCTGTGGATCTCAGCAGAACTAGGGAGCCAGGTTTCAGGAACATCCTGCATCTCAGTGCTGATCTGGGGCTCGCTGCCCCGATTTGGGTTTCTGTGGCTGCCATGGGCCAAGGAGCAGCTCCCAGTGGAGGGAAGTACTGCTGCAGCATGAGGACGATGCTGTGCTCCTTGCATGAGAAATCTGTGTCCACAGCAGCGCAGGCAATTGCCCTCTGGCAGTCCCATTGCCTGGGAGCGAGCCGCAGGCTGGCGTCTGCCAAGAGACCTCTATGGGGGCTTTGAGGTGACACAACAGCAAGTTTCATCAATTCACCTTGTTTTACAAGATTTCGGCTCTGGCCCTAGAGCAGAACAGACAGCCCTGGTGACACAAGGTGCAGCCGACCCGTCTGGCTCCACGCGACGCCCCAGGGGAGGCTGCACAGCCACGTTTGGGGGAAACACCACCCCAAGGGGGCCGGGTGCTGAGAGAATTCCCATCGCAGGACTCCTCCTGTGGGCAGTGGGCACCTCCTCGCCCACTGTGGCCCGGGTTCTCCATGCCTGAAGTGCTGATGGCAGCCCTCGTCCTGTTTGAACATCCCCGGTGTTTATTTTGGATGGTTGTGCTGAATGAGGTATTACAGGAAACGCTAAGTGGTTTTACATTTCCCCTGTCTCCTTTGGGTCTAAGAGAGGGCTTAGATCCAGGACACACACGTGTCCAACAGCCTCTCGTCCCCATGTGGGATTGGGATGAGGATCGGTTCTGATGAATGGGATGGGGACACACTGACTGCCTTTGCTGGATCTGAAGGAACATTCCAGTCTCCTCCCAGCACCCTGGGCAGCAACCGTGTGGGGGCAAAGGAAAATCCCAGGCAGAGAATACTGGTTCTCTGCTGGTGTTGGAGGCAGAGCCTGACACCATGTAGGATTTGCCATGTCAAGGTACCTGGGATGCTCCAGCATCCTCCAGACTTCCTGGGCGTTTCTTTCCCAAGGGGATGGCTGTGCTCCAGGGCTGGAGTGGGAACTTCTCAGACTTCTGTTTAATATATAAAAAAAAATTACAAGTTAGGCAATTAGGATGTGCTGAGAGCATACGCCATGAGTCTCCTAATGTGTCAGCTGTGGAGGATGTGAATTGCATCGCCTCCAGCTGCCGGCAGTGAACGTAGGAGCAGGTTGTTGGGATTTTCCAACCTACATGCCACGTTATTCTTTGTCTTCCCTTTCCCAGACGCTGCTCTGAAAAAAAATGGGGAAGGGTCTGGGAATATTTCACCTGCAATAAGGCCCCCAAATCAGCCCCATTCTGGTGATTTTGGTGCCAAGCATCGCTTTGAGAAGAGCTCTTGGCCAATGAATGGTGGCTTGGAATGATTGATACTGGATTGTCACCACCACACTGGTCCCAGAGAGTAGGAACGAGGCCACAGGGAACTGAGCTTCATGCAGAGACCATCTGTAGACCACAGTGGGGACAGACACCCAGCCCGCTCCCAATGTCCCCTTGGTACCACCCAATACCCCCAGTGCCATGTCCTGACTAGTTGTGGATTGGACACTTCCTGGCTCAGATGAAGCCCTGAAGCTCCAGCTGCTCTGCGACGATTTCCAAGGAACTGCTGGGAAATCCCATTTGGCATCGGCCCAATGGGTAAAACCATGGGTGCACCGTGGGCTGAGGTGGACGTGAGGGGTGCGCGGAGCCACATCCCTGCTGCTCTCAGGGTTGCAGAGGTCAAAACCCTGGGAGCGGCTCCTCATGGGGCCGTGGTCTCACTGGAGCCAAATTTGGGCTTTCTGTCCTTATTTTGGCACGGTGCCTGGACGTCTCCCATGGGGGGGCTGAAGGCAGGAGCCAGTCCAGAGCTGTGGACGTGCGGGGCTTCACAGCCCCGGCCTCCTGCAGCCAGGCAGAACAACAATGCAAGCTCGCACGGACATAATGGCCAGGGCTCGCTTGAGATACAAAAGCTCAGGGCTTTCACATGAGGTAATACTGATAAGTTACACTCTCATTCACCACTCTGTCTGCCAGCCGGCAGTAGAGCTGCCGTTCCCTGCTCGCCTTCGCTGGGACGTGCCCGGCCGCTGTGCCCTGCTGCTGCCTGATGGGAATGGGGCCGTGTCCTGCCCACACCCCAGCACACCGGAACCCTGGGATTTATCACTCATTATTTCTCTGAGCATCCCTAGGAGGGTTCATCTTGCTTCTGGAATGGGTTCAGCCATCAGCAAGCGAGGTGGGTGCTGAGGATGGAATTGGAAGGCATCCAAGAGGCAAAGCTTGAAGACCCCAACCCTGCTGCTTCACCCAACACACGGCTCTGGCTTTCTGATGTCCCCTTCAGCTCTTTCTCAGCTCTTGCCCTCTGGGGTCTGCGTATCCTTGGACAAACAGCCACAGCAGACCCCTCCCCGGCCTGGGGGGAGCTGGAGACATTCCTGCAGGTGCTGCTTTGTCTGAAGGAGATGGAAACCCACCAGTCCTGATCTTTGGTGATGCATTTCCCAAGCAGAGGGCTGGGAGAAGACTGGAGAAGCCGAAAGACAGGTGGGGCAAGACCATGATGGTTGTGACACAGTGAGCAGATGAGTATCTATTGAGGAGAGAGATGGCTTTTAGCTCGTTTCTGGCTACACATCTGTCTAGCTCTCCCTGAGCCCTCCAGCTTATGCCCTCAGGCATAGTGCCCACGCTGTAGCAATGGCAAATGATCATAGAATCAGAGAATCGTTATGGCTGGAAAAGACCTCTAAGATCACCTAGTCCAAGCAATGATGCGGCTCTGGCCAAACTCTTCAGGTGCTGCTGCTATTGAGATATTTCCAAAAGAGCTCAGAGACCACAAACCCACAGCCCCGCTTTGCCCAGGTGGGATTTGGGAAGCAGGACTGCTTGACTCTCACCCAGGGTTTCCTCCATGCATCACCCCAGGGCGGCCCTGTCCCCATGGCCAGTCACCCCTGAGTAACACTGATGTAAATGAGCACAGGGTGGGCCTTTGCTCTAGCAGCAGAGGAGCCAAAGCCTTTGTAAGGTGATGAGCCACACAGTTTGCTCCTTGGCTGAGGTGCTGCAACACGTTGGTACAGC